CTGAAGTCCACCTAAGCTCACACCGATTGCTTCAGTGACTCCATCTAGCAACCTCATTCTCTGCCATCCACTTCTTCTTTTGCCGTCAATTGTTCCCAGCATTAGGCTCTTCTCCAGGGAGTCCTTCCTTCCCATTAGGTGGCCAAAGTATTTAAGTTTAATCTTAAGTATCTGGCCTTCTAAAGAGCAGTCAGGGTTGATCTCCTCTAGGACTGACCACTTTGATCGCCTTGAAGTCCCAGGGACTCGCAGGAGTCTCCTCCAGCACCACAATTCAAAGGCCTCAATTCTTTGGTGCTCAGCCTTCCTTATGGTCCAGATTTCACAGCCATACATGGCAAATGGGAAAACCATAGCCTTGCCTATACGCACTTTTGTCGGCAGGGTGATGTCTCTGCTTTTTTGTATGCTGTCTAGATTTGCCATAGCTTTCCTCCCCAGGAGCAACCGTCTTTTATTTTCTTGACTGCAGTCCCCATCTGCGGTGATCTTGGAGCCCAGGAAAATAAAATTTGTCACTACCTCCATTTCTTCCCCATCTCTTTGCCAGGAAGTGAGAGGACTGGATGCCATGATCTTAGTTTTCTTAATGTTGAGTTTCAAGCCAACTTTTGCGCTCTCTTCCTTCACCTGCATCAAGAGGCTCTTTAGTTCCTCTTCACTTTCTGTCATGACAATGGTATCATCTGCATATCTGAGGCTGTTGATATTTCTCCCAGCAATCTTAATTCCAACTGGAGATTCATCTAGCCCCACCTTTCTCATGAAGTGCTCTGTATATAAGTTAAATAGGCAGGGCGACATTATACAGCCTTGCCGAACTCCTTTCTCAATTTTGAACCAATCAGTGGTTCCGTGTCCAGTTCTCACTGTTGCTTCTTGACCCACATATAGGTTTCTCAAGAGACAAATAAGATGGTATGGTATTCCCATCTCTTTAAGAACTTGCCACAATTTGTTGTGATCCACGCAATCAAAGGCTTCAGCATAGTCAATGAAGCAGAAGTAGATGTTTTTCTGGAACTCCCTAGCTTTCTCCATGATCCAGCGTATGTTGGCAATTTGATATCTAGTTCCTCTGCCTCTTCGAAATCCTGCCTGTACTTCTGGTAGTTCTTGGTCCACATACTGCTGGAGCCTAGCTTGTAGGATTTTGAGCATAACTTTACTAGCATGTGAAATGAGTGCAATGGTGCGATAGTTTGAACATTCTTTGGCATTGCCTTTCTTTGGGATCAGAATGTAAACTGACCTTTTCCAATCCTGTGGTCACTGTTGAGTTTTCCAAATTTGCTGGCATATTGAGTGTAGCACTTTTACTGCATCGCCTTTTAAGATTTTGAATAGCTCAGCAGGAATACTGGCTCCTCCACTAGCTTTGTTGTTGCTCAGACTTCCTAAGGCCCATTTGACTTCACATTCCAGGACGTCTGGCTCGAGGTCAGTGACCACCCCATCGTGGTTACCAGGGACGTTAAGCTCTTTCTTGTCTAGTTCTTCTGTGTAATCTTGCCACCTCTTCTTAATTGCTTCTGCCTCTCTTAGGTCCCTGCCAATTTGGTCCTTTGCCATGCCCATCTTTGCCTGAAACATTCCCTTCATATCTCCAATTTTCCTGAATAGATCTCTGGTCCTCCCTATTCTATTGCTTTCTTCTATTTCTTTGCACTGTTCATTGAAGAAGGCATTCTTATCTCTTCTAGCTCTTCTCTGGAATTCTACATTCAATTGGGTGTATCTTTCTCTTTCTCCCTTGCCTTTTGCTTCCCTTCTTTCCTCAGCTATTTGTAAATCTTCCTCAGACAGTCATTTTGCTTTCTTGCATTTCTTTTTCTTTGGGATGGTTTTAGTTGCTACCTCTTGTATAATGTTGCGAACCTCCGTCCATAGTTCTTCAGGCACTCTGTCTATCGGATCTAATTCCTTAAATCTATTTGTCACCTCTACTGTATATTCACCAGGGATATGATTTAGGTCATACCTGAGTGGCCTAGTGCTTTTCCCCACTTTCTTCAATTTAAGCCTAAATTTTGCAATGAGAAGCTCATGATCTGAGCCACAGTCAGCTCCTGGTCTAGTTTTTACTGACTGAACAGAGCTTCTCTATCTTTGGCTGCAGAGCACATAGTCAATCTGATTTCTGTGTTGATCATCTGGTGATGTCCATGTGTAGAGTCGTCACTTGGGTTGTTAGAAAAGAGTGTTTGCTATGACCATCGTATTCTCTTGCCAAATTTCTACCAGCCTGTGCCCTGCTTCATTTTGCACTCCAAGACCAAACTTACCTGTTATTCCGGTTATCTTTTGGCTTCCTACTTTAGCATTCCAGTCCCCCATGATGATAAAGACATCACTTTTTGGTGTTAATTCTAGAAGGTGTTGTAGGCCTTCATAGAACCGGTCAACTTCAGCCTCTTCAGCACCAGTGGTTGAGGCACAGACTTGGACTGCTGTGATGTTGAATGATTTACCTTGGATTCGAGCTGAGATCCTTTTGTCATTTTGGAGATTGTCTCCCCGTACTGCTTCTCCTACTCTTGTATTGACTATGAAGGCTACTCCATTTCTTCAGAGGGATTCTTGCCCGCAGTAGCATACCTGATGGTCATCTGAATTAAATTCACCCATTCCTGTCCATTTTAGTTCACAGATTCCTAAGATGTCGATGTTCAGTCTTGTCATCTCTTGCTTGACCACATCCAGCTTGCCTTGATTCATGGATCTTACATTCCAGGTTCCCATGGTGTATAGATCTCTACAGCATCGGACTCTCCTTTCACCACCAGATACATCTGCAACTGAGTGTCCTTTCAGCTTTGACCCAGTTGCTTCATTCTTTCTGGTGCTACTAGTACTAGCCCTCCGTTCTTCCCCAGTATTACATTACATTTAATTACATTACATTTATACCCTCCTTTCTTTCTCTAGTAAGGAACCCAACACCCCTTTGAGGCAGGTTTGGCCAAGAGTGAGCTTTGTGTCTGAGCAGGGACTTCTGCTGGATTCCCAGTTTCCCTGTCCAACATCCCAGACTGGTTTTTCCATACATCAGCCTCCTCAGATTGATGTCCTCCAGAGGCAGTGGACTACATATTGCATCCTCCTCCAGCCAGCATGTCCTGGAGGAAACTGGGCTGGGGAAGTTGTAAGCCATTCTTCCAATCTGGGCTGGAATTATGCTCACACCAGAGGCAGACTAAGGCCTCTGAAGGAAGACTTCTGTGCTTGGCTTCCGTCAAAGGGGGGAGTCCTTTGCCATCACTGCCACCCCAGTTCCAGTCCTGCCGATATTAAAGCAAAAGGGGTTTCTGGAGGAAGGGAATATGAACTTCTTTTACCGTAGTAGCTGCCAGTATCAGCACTGGTTCACCCAATGTCGGCCTTGACAGTGGAAGTTCTGGACAATTGTCCAGTGCCACACAAAGGAGAAGGCCAGATAGGGACACAAAGAGGAAACGCCCCAGGGTAGCCATGGCCTCCTGGGGAGGGAACATCTTCTGGTGCCCTGGCTCCTGAGAAATCTCCCCGCTGTGCCCGTGCTTTGCCTACCAGAGCAGCTGCTCACAGAATCATACAATAGTCCAAGAAGGCCGTTGGGTCCAGCCCCTACTCTTGCAATTCATACCACCCCACTCAACTGGCTGTCCAGTTTCTCCTTGAATGTCTCCAGTGTGGGAGAGCCTACAACCTCTCCAAGTGGCTGCTTCCACTGCCATATTGCTCTGACAGTGAGGAAGCTTCCCCTGATGTCCAGCCTGAATCTGGGTCGTTGCAGCTTTAATTTATTTTTCTGTGTCTTGCACTCTGGTATGAGTGAGAAAAGATCCTGACCTTCCTCATTGTGACATCCTTTCTGGTACCTATAGAGGGATATCATGTCTCCCCTCAGTCTTCTTTTCTCAAGGCTGAACATGCCCAGTTCTCTCAGTCTCTCCTCACAGGGCAGTGTTTCCAAACCCTGGATCATTTTTGTGGCCCTCCACTGGGCCCTTTCTAATTTACCTGCATCTTTCTTAAATCTTGGTCCCAGAGCTGTACACAGTATTCCAGATGAGGTTTGACCAGTGAGGAGTGTTGGGGAACTACTACTTCTCATAATTCGGAAGTAATACTTCTGTTAATGCGTCCCAAAAGAGGATTTGCCCTTTTGGCGGCTGCATCGCATTGTTGGCGCATGTTTAGTCTATTGTCCACAATTACTCCAAGATCTTTTTCTTTTTCAGTTCTGTTGAGCCACATATTCCCCATCTTGTATCGATGCCTTTAGTTCCTTCTGGCCTGGCAAAAATCAGTATTAGCTGCTGCCTGGGGCTGAGACTGCATGCAGTTTGTAATTCTGTTCAGCAGTATGTTGTTTTACTTATTCTCTGAGAAAAGTACCTTTCCAAGCCCGTCTGCAGGCAGGCAACTGAAACCATCTCAGAGTGCCTGGTGATGTCTCAGGCACCAGGAGCAGCTGCTGTGAAGTGGTCGGACTGGAGCATTCAGGACCTGATACTGAGCTTGCCATGGGCCAGCAAAAGCAGCATAAATGATACATGCAGGAAATATTGCAAAACATGCTCCAGTTACAGCACTTGGTTTTCCTTAACTGGGGGAAAATGGGCTTTTAAAAACATACCATCAGTATTCTAGGCTGATGCAGAGGAACTTCTCAGAACCTCTATGAAATGCTTTCACAAGACACAGGAGACTAATCAGAGGAAAGGTGGAAGTGCACGTCTGTCAAAAGGCAAAGCTTGAGGACATTAAAATTTACTTGGTGTTTTTCTACCACTTTCTGCAGGTACAAGCAAAACTGAAACATGTGGAGCTTCCCTTCCTGGCCCATTGAGCCCAGTTCTGCCAACACCAACTAACCACCATGGCTCACCAGGGACACGGCGGGAGGTCGTTCCAGCCCTAACTGGAGATGCTCCTGGGCCCTCAACCTGGGATCTTGGGCACGGCCCCTTCCCTTATAGTTGCCACAGGTTAAAACAAGGTAAACATGATAGCACCTGAGTTTCCCAACAGTAGCAGAAGGGTTGAAGATGATCTCTGCTCCATTCAGACTGTACATGAGCCAGTTGAGGGGGTGATGCCGCCCAAAGCAGATGTTCACCGCAATCTTCCCAAACTGGGTTTGAAACACCGGGTGTCCCCTGTCCCCTTCCATATAGTATGTTGACTGCAAAACACAAAGGTGCAGGGAAGCCTCAGGATGGAGAGCACTCACTCCACAGCAGCCTAGAAGTGCCCTCCTTGGGAGCACGGAGAAGCCCAGCAGCAAGTGCCCACTGGGCCGAGGCAGAACAGATGGTGGGCACGGAGTGGGCCCGGCCTCTCCCACCTGCAGCTGCAGCCTGTCCACAAGGGTCTGCTGAGTGCCCCTCACCTGCACAGGAGGGGACATATTATCCCGCAGTGATTCCATTAAAGAACTATGCTGGCACCTAATTTATTTTGCTAGCAATTTGGACTTTATTAACAGAGAATAAGGCAGGTGTCAACGGAGCCCCAGAAAGCACCTCAGTCAGCAGGGGTCACTGAGTGTTTTTCCCTGTGGCACCCTCTCCTGGCACAGCTCTCCTCCTGGCACCCCGCCCCCCACTCTCTTGAAACCAACAGCACTTGGAAAGGGAGCGGAGTAGCAGCTTGGGGCAGACAGCAGGTGGCCCTCCCAGAAAGCAATGCCTGCTGGCAGAGAGTGCATTTGAGGAGAGGAGAGGGAACCGCCCAAGAGGAGAACTGCTGAGCAGAAGCACTGGGAGGCAAGGCGAGGGGAGGGGAGGGGAGGGGAGGGCACATGGCTGCTGCAGAGCTGAGAGGGGGCCAGTGGCAGCACACAAGCAGCAAGCAAGTAGTGGTGGCAGCAACGCCAGGCTGAGACCCAGATCAGGGCTGGAAGGCCTGACAATGTAACGCTCCCAAGGGTCACCCAGCACGGTACTAACGCTGCAGGCCAGGTACACATCTGACTGCACAAAAAGCCCTGGGCTCCTTTGCCAAAGGACTGCAAGCTACAGCTGGTCTTTTCTTCCAACTAAACATAGAAACAGGGATTCAGAAGGGGTCTCCTGGGCCATCTAGTCTGTCCCTGGCTCCAGACAGCTCCGCTCATGACACGCCCACCATGTGCATGTCCAGCCTATCCTTGAACACCCGCCCCGATGGGGCATCAACCACCTCCCGGGGAAGCCCATTCCACACCCTCGGGGTCCTAACTGTCAGGAAGTGCTTCCTGGCATCCAAATTGAACCTTGGTTCCATGAGCTTTGCTCCGTTGGGAGTGTGTCCTGCCTTCCTCTGCAGGGGAGAACAGGTCTCAACCCACCTCTGTGTGACATCCCCTCACATACCTGTATGTCACCAACAGATCCCCTCAGAGTCTCCTCTTCTCCAGGCTGAAGAGGCCCAGTTCCCTCAATCTCGCCTCATATGGCATCCCCTGCAAACCAGCCACCAACCTTGTGGCCCTACGCTGCACTGACTCTAACCTGGGACTAATAAGGACTCTAATCTGGCCAGGGCGACTTATTTTATATTGTTATTTCTTGTATTTTAACCTAATGCTGTGATCTGCCCCGAGGCTTCGGCGAATGGGGCGGCATAGAAATGTTTTAATAAATACATAATCCTTACTGTAATGAGGGGCCCAAAACTGAGCACAATACTCCAGTTGCGGGCGCACCAGAGTCATATAGAGTGGTAGTAATACCCCTCTCGATCTAGAAGCCACGCTTCTGGCTGTGCAACCAAGGGTGGCGTTCGCCCTCTTGACCACCACATCACACTGCTCACTCATGTTTAGCCTGCAGTCAACCAGCACCCCAAGGTCCCTTTCACAAGTGCTGCTCTCCAGCCACTTGTCACCTAACCTGTACTTATGACACCTATTTCTATGCCCCAAGTGCAAGACCTTGCACTTATCCACATTGAACGCCATCCTGTTGTCTCCTGCCCACTTCCATAGTCTGTCCAGATCCTTTTGGATCTGGAGTACCTGCTCCTCAGTTGTGGCCACTGCTCCAGTTTTAGTGTCGTCTGCGAATTTGATCAGCAGACTGTTCACCCCTTCTTCCATGTCATTGATGAAAAGATTAAACAGGATTGGCCCCAGGACAGAGCTGTGGGGGACCCCGCTTGTCACTGGCCGCCATCCCGATGATTCCCCACTAATGGTTACCCTCTGCTTTCGGTCAGTCAACCATGCCCTAATCCACCGGACAGTGCTTTGGTGTATCCCAAAACTCCTCAGTTTCTCCACCAGGATATCATAGGGCACTTTGTCAAAGGCCTTGCTGAAATCCAGGTATACCACATCCACTGCATCCCCTCCATCTAGCCATCTCAAATCCTTGTCGTAGAATTCCACAGGGTTTGTCCGGCAGGACCTGTTTTTGGATCGGACCTGAAGTCCATCTAGTCCAGCACTCCCTATGCACAGGATCCCTCAGGACCCCTCCTCCTGCCCAGCTCCTCAGAAATGGGTGCACACAGGCAGGTCCCTTCTGGTGAAGGTGGAGCACGTACTTGTAGCGAGCAAAGCTTGTAGCGACTGGTGGTCTCCTCCCTCATGAATCCACTCAATCTCTCCTTAAAGCCATCCAGATTGGCAGCCAGCGCCACTTCCCCTGGCAGCAAATGCCACTGTTTGACGATGCCCTGTGTGAAGAAGTCCTTCCTTTTATCTATCCTAAGCCTCCCACCAATCAGCTTCATGGGATGCCGTGAGTTTGTCAGGGGAGAGGGAGAAGATTTCTCCCGCTCCAGTTTCTCCATACCATGCTATCTTTAAGCCACTCTTTCAGGGGTCCTCAAACTTTTTCAACAGGGGGCCAGTTGAAAGGTGCCGGCAATGGGCGTGGGCCGCCAAGGCGGTGCGGGCGGGGGGCACAGGCCGGGCCAGGCCAGGGGTGCGTGGGCAGAGATCCTTTTCTCCGAGCGAGGCCAAAACGATCTCCGCACAAGCAAGCCCTTCCTTGCCACGCACGCGCGAGTGCAGCAAGTCCAAAACCAGGGCAGGACAGATAAATGGGCATGGTGGGCCACATCCAGCCCGTGGGCCGCAGTTTGGGGACCCATGCACTCTCATGTCCCCCCTTATTCACCTTTTCTCTAAGTTTTTCGAAGTCCCAGTTCTCCCCACTCCTCACAGGGGAGCTGCTCCACCCCCCGGTCTTTTTTGTTGCCCTTCTCTGACCTTTTCTGACTCAGTAATGCCCCCTGTCAGGTAAGCCAGTCAGAATGTTGGTCATACCACAGATTTGTATAAGGGAGGTAAGGTTTTGGCTGTTCTGTTTTGCACCCCCTTCCTAATTATGCCTGGTGTGGAGCTGGCCTCCTTCACGCCACCTGAGCACGGGGCCAGCATTTTCCTCATGCTGTCCACCACTGCACCAAGGTCCCTTTCTTCTTCAGTCGCAGCTAGTGACCTATCAGTGTATACTTGAAGTTGGGATGTTTTGCCCCAACATGCATTACTCTACACTTGCTTCTGCTGGACTACATTCCTCCAGCCTGGAGAGATCCTTCTGGACCTCCTCCTAATCCACCTTTAAAAGTTTAGTGTCATCATCAAACTCAGCCACCTCACTGCTTACTCCCAATTCCAGATCATTTATGAATACATAGAAAAGTACTGGTCCCTATACAGAACCCTGTGGGACTTGACCTGTGGCATTTCTCCATAAGGAGAGATTGCCATTTACTCCCACCCTCTGTCTTCTGTCCTTTAACCAGTTAGTGATCCATAAGAGGACCTCCACCTTTTTATTCCATGACTGCTCAGTTTGCTCTGGAGCCTTTGGTGAGGGACTTAATCAAAAGCCTTTTGGAAGTCCAAGTAAGCAATGTCTAATGATCTGCCTCTGTCTGTGTGCTTACTGACTCTCTCAAAGAACTCTAATAGGTAGTGAGACAAGACTTTTCCTTGCAGAAGCTATGTTGATTTTTTTCAACAGAACTTGTCCCTCTGTGTGCTTGCTGATTCTATCTTCAATATTACTTTCAAGCAGTTTACCCAGAACAGAAGTTATGCTAACAGTCCTATAATTACCCAGATTCCTTTAAAAAACTATGTTTAAAAATTGGCCATTCTCCAGTCCTCTGGTACAAGGCCTGATTTTAGGGACATGTCAAATATTTTGGTAAGAAGGTCAACAATTTAATGTTTGACTTTTTTCAGCACTCTAGGATGGATTTTGTGAGCTGTCCAAAGATAAACCATAATGGACAGGTTAGAAATACCCTAATACATACATACATACATACATACATACATACATACATGCAGTCTGGACCAGATGACTATTTACTGTCTGGACCAGATGACTATTTTATCTCCCCTCAGTCTTTTCTCTCCAAGCTAAACATACCCAGTTCTTTTCATCTCTTCTTATAGGGCTTTTGCTTCCAGGCCCAGGAGGCGGAAGGTGACTCAGTGGGCACCAAGGAAAGCACCTGTGGGGAGCACATTGCTTACCGTGGCTTATAACCTTGTAAAAGAGGAGCTTTGGTGTTCATTCCCTGGTATCAAAAACTCTTTCCTCTTCCCCCTTATCTACCAGTATGTCAGGTTTGGGGATGAATCCAAGTGCTTAGCACTTCAGAACACAAGGCCGGGTGAGATTCCCACTTGTTAGCTTCACTACTGAACTTGGGCACTACCTTATCAGTGGGAAAGTAAAACAGAACCATCCAAAAATACCTTCATGACCTCTGTGTAAGTGGAAGAATTCCCAGTTGTGCAGAAAGATGTCAGTCTGCATGTTTCAAAGGAACATGAGACCTGCTGCAGAAGGTGACAGCCCTGGGCAGTGCACTTGTTCAGGGCTCCTGAGAGCCACGCACAGGGGCCCAGCAATCCTTTCTTCAGTTCCAAAATACGAGCATTTAATTCTGTGTGGGGGAAGGGTGTTCTCTGGAGAGTGGGACAGGAAAACAACCCCAGATTGCCCAGACAGGGATTTTTTTAAAATAGCAGCCTAGTGATTTCCCCCAGTGCCAAAGCGACACTTCAGAGTGCTCAGGAGCATTTCCCAGGGCAGACGGAGGCTGCAGTTTCTCTGATCCTGTGCCAAGGCAGAGCTGGATGCAGGCACGCCATGTCCGAAACCTCTTTGGGATACTCTGGGCTTGGATTGAAAGGCCAAGGGCTAAACGGACTGCTGTGGCTTGGCTTTCACTCTGCCTTCCTTGAGGTACTCAAGGCCATAACCAAATCCTCATGTGCACAGGATCCAGTGACTCACTGGAAAGTTTGGGACCTGTTAGGCCTCCCTTTCCATCAGGCTCCTCCTACCGCCTCCCAAGAACTCAGCCACCACCTTTGTAGTCTTCAGTTGAGTTTCTGGGAACAGCATTGCCAAGAGCTCGAGAGCAGCCCATCTTCTGGAGTCCACCTTTCACAGGCTTTGCAGACCCTTCCATCCCCTGCAACCACAATGAAGCTGCCCTGGCAAAGATGGCATTCCAAGCTGAGGCAGTGTTCCAGAACTGCCTTGGCACGCTTGTCTCGCCTGCCTCACCTGTGCTGTGAGAAAACCCCAAGCAGTCACAGCAGCATCCCCTGCTGGCACCTTCACTTCCTCATGGTACCCTTGGGAAGGAATAAAGTTCATTTGCCACTCAGAGAGAGAACTTATCCTTCCATGGGTTGGTTCACTCTACTTCTGAAATTTGTTATGCTTTATTATTCCAGCTCCAGTGTTCCTTATGAAATACAGAAAGTAATGCAATCTTAGAGCATATTTCAATATTTAGACTTAATATTTTGCTACACTCTTTAAAAACCTCTTTCCAACATTTTATTATATATTTGCATTCCCATCACATATGGCAATATGTACCCACTTCACAACAACATCTCCAATCTAAATCGAAGCATTTGCAATCTGCACAGTTCAGCATCACCAGGGTTCCATACAATTTGATCCCCTGCTCTCTTTCTGTGGCCCAGGTTGTCCTTGAGCAGTGGTGCTTTCCATGAAATGTGTGTGTGCTCATGTTCCACTTGCTCAAGTTAGAAGCGCCACTTGAGACTTGGAGGTGAATTGGGAATCCTCAGTGCAGCACACACAGGCACTGGAAAGCTGCTGCCGAGGACACAGCTTGGAGAAGCAGCAGGAGTACCCAGTTTTCCACGCCCAGAAACTCACCTCATTGAAGTCTCCAATCCTTGGAATGTGATTCTTCCTGCTCTTCCCAAGCACAGTGCCAGAGTTCGAAATCACCACTGCTGTGTTCCACAAGGTTTCCCCATGTACAGCGTCTCGCTCTAGGATTGGAGACACCACAACCATATTGTGCTTCTTGGCCAGCTGCAGACATGAAAATGATGCCATATTTTATTTCTTTATTTTATTTCAAACAATCTATTTTATTCATTATTTTCTTTCAAATTATACTTTAATTATTTTGTTTCGGCTAATGTCTTAGTAATTAGAGTTCCTTCATTACTGGCAGAAAGCAGCAATTAGAAAACAAAACAAAAATGATCACAGAAGAATTACAGAACTTTAATGTCAACAGGGAAGAAACAGGAATTGTAAAAGACTGTGCATACTTTGGCAAAATCAATTCAAAGGGAGATTGTATCCAAGACATTCGAGGACTGAGACTCGGACAGGCAGCAATGAACGAACTAGAAAAGATCACCAAGCATAAAGATTTTCACTGGGGACCAAGCCCAGGATTGCCCACACGATTGTATTTCTGATCACAATGTATGGGTGTGAAAGCTGGACAGTGAGAAAGTTATCAGAGAGAAAATTGGTGCATGTTAAACTTTGTGTTGGAGGAGAGCTTTGTGAATACCCTGGACTGACAGAAAGAGGAACAAGTGGATCCTAGAGCAAATCAAACCAGAGCTTGCCCTGGAAGAAAAAACGATGAAATTAAGGCTGTCTTAACAAGAGCAGACAGGGCTGAAGGCACATGTCGCAAGAAGGCAAGACTCACTGGAGAAGACATGGAAAAGTTGAGGCAGAAGAAAGAGCAAATATGAGCTGGATTGACTCCACAGAGGAAGAGTCTTGACCTTACAAGCAATAGGTAGGGCTGTCAAGGATAGGTCATTGTTGAAGGCTTTAATTCATGGGGATTTTTATTTAATTTATTTATTTATTTAAAGCATTTTTATGCCGCCCCCTTTGCAACAAGCCTCAGAGCGGCTTACAAAGCAAATAAATATTGAATAAAATTTTAAAAACCCAGATACATCTCAACAGGTGTATAATAAATAAATAATAACAACAATTAACAGTTAAAATATTGTTTAAATAAAAAGGTCTTGGCCTGGCGCCGAAAAGCAAATAACGATGGCGCCAAGCAGACCTCTCTGGGAAGCGCATTCCATAGATTTTTCTATGGAAGGACTATAAATGCCATTCATTTCTTGTGCTAAAAACAAATACCTTGTCTCAGAATACCTTAATTCTAAGTGCCTTTTACACCAAATTCCAGCTAGTGAATCTCGGGATTCCACTGCAAAAACCAAGTGAGTCAAACATTGGCCCATCCATGGTAACTGAGCTCCACAGAGTCTATCACAGATTATTTGGTAATGCAAGGAAGGCAGGTTGTCTGCCTGTGACTGTTGTTTGAATGCTCATCTGTGCATTTACAAAAATGGGCTCTGTGGACATGTGTGGAGCTCATTCAGGAAGATCCCCAGGCCGATTAATTATTATTTGGCAGGAGCCCAGTCCCCAGGCAGGCCCAGCATGTGGGGAGCAGCTCCCACCAAGACCTCAGCTTGAATGATAGGACTGCCATCAGAAGTATGTCCTCCTTCCCATCAGAGTAAGGAAGATATATCCCAATCCGTGTCATAAGGTGCGACACTAGCAGGGCCAGCGGGTGGGTTGTGTGAACGCACCAATGGCTGCTCAAAGAATGACAGTCACAGGTGGGCAACCTGTCTTTCTTCTTTGTGGTCTCAGTGTATCACACATAAGGGTGACTGGCAAGCTTACTTCCTGGAGGAGGTTTGTGTCGTTCAATAGAGTAGAGAAAAGAGGACAGCCCTGCCAAAGGTGCAGCCTGCTCTGGCTCAGATGTCCAGGTGATAATGGGGAACAGAAGTCAAGGAGTTCGACCAACTTGCAGCTCTGCAGAGATCAGTGAGGGACACTCCGGTGTATGACTGTGGAGGTCACTGTTGCTCTGGTGGAATGAGCTCAGCTCATGCCAGATAGATGAAGGCTGGAGAGGTCATATGCTTGGAGCACTGTATGAACTACCCAGACAGCGAGACTCCATGAGGAGAGGGGATACCTTGATGTGCACCTTCACAGGCAATGAAAAGTCTCTCAGACTGTCAGAGAGACTGTTCTGGATTAATCGAAGACCAAAGCCCAGCAAACATCCAAGGAATGGCTAGTTCCTTCAAGAGGGTTAGAAGGAGACAAGAAGAAGGCTGGAAGGATCGCTTCAGTAATATGGAAGGCACAGACAACTTTCGGCAGGACAGTGGGATGCAATATGAGGTCAACGCATAGGGCAGCCAAGTCACCGGCATGTCAAGCAGAGATGACAGCCACAAGAAAGACCATCTCCCAGAGACAGAGGTCTGCAGAGGCCATGGGTTCTAATGGCTTTTGCGCAAGCATGTGAGGGCTCCAGGCCAGAGTGGGTTGCCAACCCGGTGGGGCAAGATTAACAGGGCCTTTGATGAACCTCTGGATGAGAGGCTGGGAGAAACCAGAATGGCTTTGGAGTGTGGAAAGCAGAAATAGTGGCTGCACAGACTCTGACAGATAGAAAGCATACTGAGTAGATGGGCTGGACGGGCACACGGTGGGCCTGTCGTGAGCAGAGCCAGCTGGAGCCGGGGGTCAGACTAGATGGCCCGGGAGGCCCCTTCTGACTCGCCCTGTTTCTGTGTTTCCTGTACAAAGAACTGAGGAATATGGCTGAAGCTGTGTCTGATGTGAAGCTGTGTTCTGCTGCAAAGTAAAAAAACAAAACAAAACCGCCCATTGTGAGCTGCAGTGGCAGGTTTCAGAGATGCAGTGAGGATTTCTTGGAGTTTGGAACGTACATCAGTTAGTGTGCTGGGAATGACCAAATCCTCCATGCTGTGACGCAGAGGGTATGTATGTCCAGATGGAGAACTGTCCCTTGATCCCAAGAAATGACACCAGGTTGGAGAGATAAGCATCTGAAGGTTCCATTGGAGAAGCTGAGAAGATGGGGGAACCAAGGCTGACTGGGCCAGCAAAAGGTAATGAGGATAGAGTCCTTGTGATCTCCGTGAATCTTTGCTATGGTTTTTGAGGTCAGAGGAAAGGGGGGGACAGGAAAAAGAGGCTCCCATTCCACTCAAGGAGGAAGGTATACCCCATCAATCCCCTGCTGATACCAGCTCTGGAGCAGCAGTGGTCGCAAGAAGCATCGTCCCATGGCGCAAACAAATCTATTTGGGGTGGCCCATCATGGGACTGCATCATGGTGCAGTGACGTTCCCACTTGTGACACGGTGAAAGTGCAAGTGAGAGCATTTGCTAGAACATTGCTGGTACTAGTGAATGGATCACCAAGAAGGTGGTGCATCAAGGGGTACACCACTTCCAAATGTTGGTGGCGAGGAGTGCAACTGGGGTAACTCTTGCTCCTCCCTGCTTGTTGATGTACACAACTGTGGTGTTGTCAGTAATAATTTGAATGTGCTGGCCTAGAATTAGAGTCTGAGATGCCAGGAGAGCTTTCTGCATGTCAAGGAGCTCAATGGGGAGGCTTTCTGTGGGCTCTATTTGCCTTGGATTGTTGAGTGGCTGCAATGAGATCACCATCTGGAGTATGAGGCATCTGTTGTAATAGCCAGGTTCAGTTCTGGAAGGAAGAGCATGACTCTGGTGGCAGTATTCACCCTGTCAGTCCACCACTTGAGGTCCCTTCAAATCTGAGAAGTGATTTGAACCCTGATTGTGTGGGACTCAGTTCTGCAGTTGTGAAGGAGGCCAAGAACCAGAGCTGGAGCAGCTGCATGTATAATTGGGCAAGCAATACAGCACGATCAAGGCAGAGGACTCGCTGCATCCTGGTGGCAGTGACGAAGCCTTCCTGGATAAGGTGGTTTTCTCTGGTGAGGGTGGACAGTCTGTGTCAAGATGGAATCAAGAAGCACCCCAGAAAATGATGTACAAGCCCAGACTGGTAAGCAAGGTGCATGTTAACTCAGCAGCCCATATGCAGGTGTGTTGAGATGGGGCAACAATGCGCCGATTGTCTAAATAGGGGTATACAAGCGCCCCGTTGAGATGGCGGTGGGCTCAAACAACAGGCATGCTCTTTGTGAATACACATGGAGCTGTTGCTAGGCTAAAGGGAAGGACAGAAAATGGAAAGAGTCTATCTTCGACAAACCTTGGAAAACAGGAGAAGTGCCAGATGACCGGAGAAGGGTAATGTTGTCTCTGTTTGTTTGTTCCCCTAAAGAGGAACAAAGATGAACCTGACAATTATAGACCAGTTAGTCTGACATCAATCTCTGGAAAAATCCTGGAACAAATTATTTAAAAATTCATCTACAAGCATCTTGAAGAAAATGCAGTGATTAATAGAAGCCAGCATGGATTTATCAAAAATAAATCCTGTCAGACTAATTTAATCTCATTTTTTGACTGACAGTAAATACAATAAAGCAATACAACAGTGGAGCCAGCTACCTAGAGAGGTGGTGGGCGCTCCCACGCTGGAGACATTCAAAAAGAACCTGGACAGCCATCTGAGTGGGATGGTGTAACATAGTGTCCTGCAACAGCAGGGGGTTGACCTCAATGGCCTTCATGGCCCCTTCCAACTCTCCTATTCTATGATTTTATGATTCAACCTGCAAATGGAGGAAATGCCTGTATGACTCCTCTACTGAAATATGAAAATATGTGTATTTAAGGTCCACCAAAGTGAACCTACTGAAGGCAAAAGAAGAAGGTTGAGGTGGCTGGATGGGGTCACTGGAGAGGTAGGTGTGGGCTCGGGTGTACTCTGGCGAATGGTGGAGGACAGGAGAACCTGGAGGAAAGTTCTCCATGGGGTTGTGAAGTCGGGCATGATTTTGCAACCGAACAACAATAAAGTGAACCAGCCTTTGCACAGCAACATGGAATCATAGAATAGTAGAGTTGGAAGGAGCCAAAAGGCCATTGGGTCCAACCCCCTGCTATTGAAGGACAGTAAGTTACACCATTCCATTTAGATGACTGTCCAATTTTTATCTGAACTTCTCCAGCAAAGGAAAGTCTACACAGGGTTTCTCAGACTTTTTAAACAGGGGGCCAGTTCACTGTCCCTCAGACTGTAGGGGGGCCGGACTATAGTTTGAAAAAAATATGAACAAATTCCTATGCACACTGCACATTAAAATTAATTAAAATTAAAATTAATTTAAAAATTAATTAAAAACATAATACATTAAAAATTAATTAAAATTTTAAAATAATTAAAAAATTAAAAAATGTTTGCTTCACTTGCTTGGGTTGCAGCAGAAGCCCAAGATGAGGTGGGGCAGTGCATGTCCATATTAAAGGGACAAAGAAACATAGAAACAGAGTGAGTTAGAAGGGCCTCCTGGGCCATCTAGTCTGACCCCCGGCTCCAGCCGGCTCCGCTCACGACATGCCCACCATGTGCATGTCCAGCCTATCTTTGAACACCCTCCCTGATGGGGCCCCAACGACCTCCCGTGGAAGCCCATTCCACACCCTCGGTGTCCTGACTGTCAGGAAGTGCTTCCTGGCATCCAAATGGAACCTTGGCTCCCTGAGCTTTGCTCCGTTGGAGTGCGTCCTGCCTTCCTCTGCAGGGGAGAACAGCTCTTTCCCCACCTCCTCTGACACCCCCTCACATACCTGTATGTCGCCAGGGCGACTTAATTTATACTGTTCATTTATATTATTTTAACGAAGTTTGTTTATGTTTGTGAGCCGCCCCGAGGCTTCAGCGAATGGGGCAGCATAGAAATTTCCTAAATAAATAAATATCCCCTCTGAGTCTCCTCTTCTCCAGGCTGAAGAGACCCAGTTCCCTCAGTCTCACCTCATACGGCATCCCCTGCAAACTGGCCACCAACCTTGTGGCCCTACGCTGCACTGACTGTAACCTGGCTATATCCTTCCTGTAACGAGGGGCCCAAAACTGAGCACAATACTCCAGATGCGGGTGCACCAGAGTCGTGTAGAGTGGCAGTAATACCTCTCTCGATCTAGAAGCCACACTTCTGGCTATGCAACATAGCTACAATGCCCACAATCGTGCTGGGCAGTGGGGGGAGACAGGCACGATTGTGCTGGGGGGGGGAAGGATGTGATTGCACTCATGCAGGGAAGGCGGGCATGATCGCGGTCATCTCCCCCCACCCCAAGCATGACATTGGCCATCCCCCCGCCGAGCACGACCACAGTCACACCCATCTTCCCTGCACGAGCGCGATCATGGCCATCTCCCCACTGAGTACACCTGCACCGGCTCAAAGTTTTTGGACTTGCTCAGAGATCGTTCTCCGAGCGAGTCCAAAAGCTCTGAGATGGGCTGGATAAATCAGCATAGCGGGCCGGATTTGGCCCACTGGCTGTAGTTTGAGGACCCATGGTCTACACTATTCCCCCAGGTAATAGGTTCCTCTGTTGTATTCCAACAGTGAGGAAATTCTTCCTGATATATAGTCTAAATCTGGTTTCTTTTAACTTAAGTCTGTTACTCCATGTACTGCACTCTGGAATGAACAAAAAGAGATCTTGTCCTTCCTCTTTGTGACAGCCTTTGGGGTACTTGTAGAATGCTGAGACAGTTCCAGTTTGCTGATTGACCAGAGAAAATGGTTCTCAGAACCAGCCTTCTGAGAACCAAGTGGCTGAATCGGGAACTCCTGTGCCAGTCTTGCAACCACAGAGGGGTGTCACAGTGAGTCCGATTTTGGCACTGTGTCGTCGGTTCATGGGAGGCCAGCAGGGGGCTGCAGTGTTTCTTGGTGTGTTTGCTGCCATCTTGCTCTTTAGTGAGACTAAGTGTTTTTGAAGCCTTATTTTTGGCTGCACTGTTGATCTTCCCTGTTTGGACCATTCTTCTGGGTGAGCAGTTGGGAATTCTGCCAAGGATATGGCAGTACTGACTTCCAAGGTGGTCGGTAGAGGGCAGCTTCCTGCATGAAGAGCCTGGCTCCAAAGTTCTGCTTTAAGGCGCTTAGCCTGATGGTTCCCCTGTTTAGTAAGCACCAAGCAGCGGTAGCAGGAACCAACAATGTGGGTCTCCCACAGGCAAAAAAGGCACCAGGAGTGGCTGTCAGCAAGTAGCAGCTCGCAGCTGCAATCTGCTCGGTTTCAGACTGGGGCCTTGAGCACCATTTTCTCGAGCAGGCGAGGGCAGGAGGGCTGGTCAGAAGCAGAGAAAAGATACCTTTTTGTTTTCTGTCGACACTAGAGAAAATGTACTGTAAGCCACCTAGGAAGGCCTCGGCCTTACAGGTGGCCTATAAATACATACATGTATGTATGTATGTATAAATAAATACATAGGGGAAAATGAAGTAGAACGGAGCTTTCGGTAGGCATGAGGGCTCCTGCCAAATAATAATTAATCAGCTCTGGAGACTTCCCAAATGAGCTCCACACAGGCATGCAGAGCCCATACATACGAAAAGCACAGACAATGAAGAAATTGCTTAATTCACTGCCATCCCATTTTAAAATAATTAATTTAATGGCCTGAACCATCTCTGTACCTGACATATGCGTCATTTTAACCCAAACCAGGCTTGCCCAGGAATATTCATGCTTTATGAGTGGATGTCACAAGCTCTGCATGAGAAGCCGGGAAACTCTCTCAACCCAAGGGAGGAATTCAGGGACCACATTCCAAGGTTCCATTGATGGGCAAAGCCAAGGCAAAGGGGGTCTGGCCAGAAATGCCAGCATTTGCCAACCTTTAAGGTCCTACCTGACATGAGACCACAATGATGGGAATTGCATGAGTGGAGCTGGCTGCAGCGGGGGTCAGACTAGATGGCCCGGGAGATCCCTTCTTACTCGCGCTGTTTCTGTGTTTCCTGGGCAGAAACAGAGATTGCTCCCCTGGAAGATTCCACTGGCAGGGACTAAAGGCAATGCTAGCACGTGCAGGAGTCTCTGCCACACACATATATGGGGACCTCCTTTCCAGTGGCAGCACCTCATGGCATTCCCCAGACACCCTGGCCCTTGGGAGCGGCTGGTCACATTGTCCTGGATCAGGAAAAAAGCAAGGGATCAGCCTTCCCTACTTCAGTCATTAGGAACTAGCAACTGCTGTCCCCACATGAGAAGTAAATTGCATTTGTTTAATATTAAGACATCCCTCTTCCTTTTTGTAAAAAAAAAAAGCCAGTATAAAACATTATTACATTGCTCTTGGTCCCTGAAGAGAGAATTTTGTATTACATTTCAGTTCTGATAAGTCATGTCTTTCTGGATCTAATTACATTTTCTCTTCCTTCCCCTTGTGTCATTTCCTTTCCCAATCTCCACCAAGATGCAATTAATATCACATTTAGAATCACCCTGCATTTGACCTATGTGGTAGTGAAAACAGCAAACTGGAAAGAGATGCATCCCCACAGAATGGGGATGCATTCCCCTTCAGCATCATCAAATGGCAAACTGCTAGTAAATGACTACACACAGTAAAATCACTGTTCCTTTCTGAACAGAAAGAAGTGAGTCTTTCACAGAAAGGCAAAAGAACTGAAGTCCAAGAGCGTTCTGCAAGCCACAGACTGCTTAGTACTTAACAGCAGGCCCAATCCACCAGGGAGTGCTCCTTGGTATGCCTCTTTGAAACAACCTGTAGCTGTGCAAGGACTGAGGCACATGTGAGCATTCTGCTGGGTTCGCCTGCTTTATAGCACAATCCTACAGTAGAACTCACTCCCGGGCCTGCTGCTGCTTCAAGATTGCAACCATGGTCTGCCATGTCTTCACCCTGCTCTAAAATGTTCATGTTGTCCCAGGTGTCAGAAACAGGTGAGAGCACTTTCATGGGGAAAGTGATTGTGTAAGAGCAACCACAAAGCTGTATGACTGCGCAAAGTATTTCATGCCACACACTCACTTGATACAAGCATTAGCAGTAGGGAGGATCCCTGTAAAATGGCAGGAGGGAAGGAATTTGGCTTTCTACCTTCTGGCAAAATCTTGTTGTGGGGCCATCTTCTGACGATTCAGCAAATTCAGTCCAAGGCAGCCTCTCCCTCGTGCAGAAAGCAAAAGGCATTGCTAGAAAAGCAAAGACCATTCTAAAACATTAACAGAACTGACATGACAGACAGAAGAGGGGAGGGTTCTGTGGCATGAGTGGAGCAAGTGCTCCGGTGACTTGGATACCTCCGGGAGAGCCCTCTAGGGTAGACCTTGAACCCCTCCATGGCAGGCTCCTTGCCCTTGGGGACATTCTCACAAGCCGCTTGTGGTCTGGGAGCAGCCCAGCCCTAGGGGTCCCATGTGATGCATCTCCTCTGCGCTTAGCCGCCCTTCCTCATTTGTAAAAATGCTTGGCGCATCAAGGCAGCCGCCTTCCGGCAGGCCACGCTGTTGGCCAGCCTACCCAAGCGGCATCGCGGGCAGCGTTGCAGGCAGGAGCCAGGGTGGGGAAGGCCGCAGTCCGACAATCTGGGAATGTGAGCTTTGAGCACAGCAGAGCGCAAGTGTGGGAGAGGCCGAGCAAGGCACTACTTACTCCAGAGCTCTTGGAAACAGACGACATTCACCCCACAGATTGCTGCCACCTCCACAATTTCTTCTATGCGGTTGTATAGTGCAGCTGTCTAGAGAGAACAAACTCTGCTAAAGAAGTCCGCTGGTGGAGCCTTTTAAATAAGCTTCCTTTACTCTCCTCTTGCCTGCCAAGCCCCAGCACAAACTAGACACCCAGCAAGAAAAGGGCTCCACCTGCAGAGGGTGCGAGGCCTCCCAGACTGACAGCTGGTACCCTCAGCAGTCCGGCGCTGCCTGCTCCCACGCTCACTTGGATGGCCGCTCCTGAAGGTGGTGCTGGGGAACGACCGCTCGGCTCCCTGGCAGTTGTGCCACGGAGTGCCACAGGGCTCTATTTTATCTGCTAAGCTATTCAACACAGAACTGCTCAAGGAGGCTGTGTAGCGATGGAAGCTGAGGTGTTACCGGCAGGCCGAAGCCTCCTAGTTCTCCCTCTCCTGCTCATCAAATCCAGGTGAGACAGTGGCTGCCCTCTTCCAGGTCTGCACAGGTAAGGGGCTGAATGAGGACCAATAAGTGGACTGCTCACTTTTTTTATATTTTGTTTATTACTTATTTGATTTATGTGCCGCCCCATCAGCCATAGGCTCTCTGGGCAGCTTATTAACACAGTAAAATCCACAATATACAATAAAACCAATGAAACAACAAAATCAACCACTAAAATCAAAATTAAATGAGACAAATAATAAAAACAATAAAATGAATAAACCTAGAAACCTAGAAACAGAGCAAGTCATAAGGGACCTCCCGGGCCATCTAGAAGAAACAGGCCTTCTTCCTAGCCATCTCCCTCGTCACTTCATCAGGGGGATGGATGCAGAGGCAGGCCTCAGACTAAGACAACAGCCATCTGGTGGATACATATGGAGAAAGGTGCCCACACCGAGTCCATTACTGAGCTCAGACACCAATTTGCAGCAGTCACTCAAGCTGTCAAGTGCTCTGTAGACCAATGGCATGTCATCATCTGTCATCAAGAAAGGGTTTACCTGCAGCTGTTAAGGAAAAAGCCCTACTGTTTGTACCTGTTCAGCAACCGGTGCATCTGTGGGAAGTGGAACTCTATTCTGGATCAGTCCCACTCGGACAATGTGGGGCTGCCTCAACTGCTCCAGTTCCGCTCCAAATCTATAGCCCTGTAGTTCAAATGTCCTGTCAGCAGCAGCTGAAACAGCATCGGGGGGTAGATCTAAAGGCCTGGAAAAAGGAACACAGGACAACTAGCCTCCTCAGCAACTGGCCACTGGCAATACAGGAGGGCCAGACTTTTTAAATCAGGTATCAGCATCCTTGACACTAAGAAATCTGGGGTGAGAGGAGAAAGAAGGGGGATAAAGTACAGATGGGCATACTTTGGGTTTGTAAGATAGACTTCATTTCTTACTCAAACCTGAACAGACATTCATCAGAGTCAGGTATAAAATCATATTTCTGGGGAGCAGCCAGTTGCCTCTTGCCCCATGAGCCGTTCAGTGTATCCACAAATGCACATCTGCACTCCTATAGACCAGGGATTCCAACACAAAACTGCCAAAGTGGCTGGTAGACTTGCCCAAAGATGTGATCCAAGTCATTCCCAGCCAGCTTGCAAATGAGAAATACAGAATCCTAGTCCACAGAGTAAGGAGAATCCACTGTGGGTAGATTTCCCTGCGTGACTTCTTGTTATGGCCATCACCACCATTCTGAACATTCAGGGCACACTGCAGCTTTTCATGTGCTCACCTAGCGATGGTGGGTTGTTACACTGGTCTTCAAGCCACCAGCAACTCTAAAACAGCCCATGCGCTTTGGGTGGTCTGGCACCCCCTGCAACAACCCACCCTTGTGACTTTGCATCTACTCAGTGGTGCAAACGTTGATTACTAACTTGGCATCTACAGTGCTACAACCTGCCAAGGCAGGAGCAATCATGTGAAGCAGGTCAGAGTTGAGGAACAATGTGATTTGCACACAACCAGCCATGGCTGCAGTTTTCCTTAAACTTGCAAATTTACTTGCTGCAGTGGAACAGTAAGGAGCCAAAAGCCCTTCACAACTGGCTGCAAAGCACCCAGATGCCTGCCACCAAATCACAATCTACTTTCTGCCCAACCCCAGAAGGTCCTGGATTAAGAATTGGACAAAGCCAAATTCACTTGAGAAACTCAGAACAAACCACTGGAACTGGTGTTGCAAGGGAATGCTGTAACTACTGGAGCCATTAAGGTCATCCCTGTGAACTCTGCACTACAGTCAGCCCAAGTTTCGACAGTAGGCAAGGCCTTAGGGCAAGGGTTGTACTTTTAAGCATGCAGATTTCAACGCTGAACTCTTAAGCGGGGCATCTTTATCATTATACACTTTAAAAAGCAAAATAAATCATTGTGAGATGAGTTTCTTCCTACAATATCCCCAACTCCTTCAGTTGGGGAATCCTTCTACAGGGCGCACGTGGCAACAGAGCGCGAAAGCCGTCCCCTTGCCCAGTTGGAAGCTGTACAACGCGGGGAGGGGGCGCCCGGCGAGCGGAGGGCCTCCCCGGCCAGCCGCGGCCCTGCGCTCCCCGCGCGGCACGCGGGCTCCCCGCGCCTTTCGGCGGCCTCGCCGCCACGCAGAACGCACGAGAAGAGCGGCAGCGCCCTCGCCCCCCGCCGCCCCTCCATGAACGTGCCCGGCCCCTCCGGCGCTCGGACCAAGACGCCCCTCTCCTCCGGCCGCGTCCGCCTGCCTGCCCGCCGCGACGGCGCGGCCGGCCGCTCCCCAGGACGGCCGGAGGCCCGCGGCACAGGGCGCCCGCCGCCGACAGACCGCGGGCGCCGCCGAGAGGGCCGGGGGCCCTCCGGCGCGTGCCACGTCGCTGACGGGGCGGGCGGGCAGCGGCCAGACCAGGCCAGGCCAGGCGGCCGCCTCCCGCAGGGGCAACGCCGCCCAGCGCGCGGGCTCGCCGCTTTCGCCGCGCCTGCGGAAAGCTCCGGGTGCACCTGGCGGCCTCCCCGTAGAGGATGCGCGTGGCCTCGGCGAGCTCGGCAGCGGGCATGTGCCGCTGCAGGCAGCGCTCCAGCGAGTCGAAGCCGGCGGCGCCCGCCATCCCTGCCGCGCACCAGGCCGACCGCCTTCTCGCCCCGGACTGCCGCCTGCGGGGCGAGGGTCGTGGCGGAGCCTCCGCGGGGCGGGGCGGGGCGGGCTAGGGCCCAGCTCGGCCGCGGAGGCGCGCGGGCGGAGCGGAGCTGCGGCACGCCCGGCGGCCTTGGCCTGGCCGGGGCCGGGGGGGCCACGCAGCGGCCGAGTCCTGGGCGCTGGCAGGCGACTCCTGCTGCCGCCTGAGCGCGAGGAGCCGCTGCGCGGTTGCCTCAAGTGACCCGCGGGGCAAGTGGCCCGCCCGCCTCGGAGCAGTTGGTTGCCCATGTCTTCCCGAGGCAGGGGCCCGGCTCCTCCAAGTGGAGGTCGGAGCAAACAGAACTCGCCAGGAGCACTCATGCCGGTGTTGGCCTGGCCGTTTGAGCAGTAGAGTGGGAGAGGCTAAAAAGGGCATTAGCCAACTGCCTGGGCCATGCAGGGCTCCAAGTTGGCGGTGAGGAAAGGTTAATCCCCGTGGCATGCCATTTAATGACAAAAGGCAGAAGCGGGAGGACAGGCTGCCTTTTAAGCTTCTGATTTCCATGTGCAACAAACATCTGCAGACAATCTTGTTACATCACTTCTGTGCCCATTCCTCTAAGGTGGGGTGGGCCATTCGTGGTCCTCTAGGTGCTTTGGCCTAGAGTTCCCACCATCTCTTCGGCTATGATGACTGGGAACAATGTGTGAGTTAGGATAAAACCTCTGGAGGGTTGCAGTTTGGCCACTCCTGTTTGAAGAAGAGATGTGCGTATAGAGATCAGGAACAGGTGCCTTGCCCCCTTCCACAAGCAGTTTTGGCCAACAGCTCTCATCAGCCTTGGCCAGCATGGCCAATGGTGAGAGACAGCGGCAGGAACAGAACCCATGCCCTAATGGCCTTATGGATTCCAGCTGAGCCTTCTGTGCTTCCATAAGCAGTTTGCACTGGTGTGGTCCCTGGAGCATCGTTCAAGCCAGAAAACACACACTGTCCTGAGAGCTGCAGCTAAAGGGGAGCAGCCTGATTCCTAGCAGCAGCTGTGTGAGTAGGGTGACTCGTTCTGGTTCCTGACTCTGGGCTGAGCAGGTCAGAGGAAGCTGCCGCAGCTCATCCAAAGCCTCTGGGATACAAACAGCCAAGCTCCTGGGGAGTGAGTGAGCAAGCAAGCAAACAGGTGTTTGGCGGTAGAGTTGTATGGAAGAGGAGACAAAGGCAGAGGCAAAGGGATGAGAGACCTGGATTAGCCCAGCAACAGTCTCTTCCAAGAGGCCCTGTGCTTCTGAGAGCTGCACCTGAAAGGAAGTGACCTAATTAGCAGCAGCAGCTGTGTGGATGAGGAGATTCATTCTGGTTCCTGGTTCCTAGCTGAGGAAGCTGTTCCTCCTAGGGAACCACTGGATACGAAAACCCCAAACTCCTAGTGAACAAGTGAACAGGGATAGTTCAGCAGGGGAGATCCCTCATTTTCTCCCCTGCCCCTTTGTTTTCATAACACACTCCAGTTTACTGGTAGGACTGACAACCTACTGGCAATCTTTGGGGAAGACGGGAAGCAGTGGTTGCTACAAGCTCAGCAAACTAGCATTAAAAAGATTGCAGCAAGAATGGGCCAAGAAGACTCTGGAGTGGTGGTGACCTGCAATGTTTGTTTTCTCACCTAAGGTCAACATGGCCTACACATGGAACAAGTGCAAGCTAGTAGCTCTGCTGGAAGAAAAGGTGGGAGCACTAGAGCACTGTGGTTCCACCCTCAAGGAAATAGAAGGTTAAGAGCTTTTAGGCAGGGTGGTGGAACTGCAACAACTAAGAGCAGTACAGAAGCTTAAAGTGTGGCAGCAAGCTGAAGCAGAAGAAAAGAATCCCAAGGCAAGGAAAATGAAGAGGAAACTGCCTTGAAAAGGTGACAGTTAACCACAGAAGAACTGGAAGACACTGCACCAATGGAAGCAGTGGAACTATGGAACCACTTTCAGTTACTCAGGGATGAGACTGGAGGGCAGCCTGCAGTGGAAGAACTGCAAGTCGCCCCGTGCAGCACCGAACAAGGGGCTGAAGGTCAGCCGAGTGGTGGCAACGATGCCAAGGCTTGCAAGAACATGAGATGGAAGCATGCATGAGATGGAAGCATGTTTGTCGTGAAGATCCATGGTCCTGTCAGGTATGCTTTCCCCCGGAGGACAGCTTAGTAATACAATTGAAAGATTGCCAAGGCTCATACAGCCCACTGACACGTATCCCTTCCTTTTTATACATGCGGGGGAAAATGACACTGTCAGCGGAGCTCTGAGGAAACCGCATCAGACTTCGAAGCTTGAGGGAGGAAAGTCAAGAACCTTGGGGCCCAGATAGTCTTCTCTTCAACCCTTCCAGTCTGAAGAAGTGGAAAGGGCAGGGAAAGAAAAATACTGCAGGTGAATGCCTGGCTGTGAAGCTGCTGGTGGTGTGAGAGATTTGGACTCTGGGACCACAGGCTGCACTTCCTGCTGGCGAGGGATGAATTGCACTTTACAAGGACCAGAAAGAAGGTGTTTGGCCACAGCAGCTCTGTCCAGTTATAGTTCTCCAAAAATGTAGGAAGAAAACTAGAACATAAAGCATGTGGTCTTCAATGACTATATACTAATACCCAGAGTGTGGGAAACAAAGAGCATGAACTTGAGTTCTTAATATAGGTGGGTGACCTGATAAGTATAACTGGAACTTGGTGGGATGACTCCCATGATTGGAATTCAGCAATTGAAGGATATAAACTGTTCAAGAAGAACTGAAGGGATGGAAAGGAACGTAGAGTCGTGGCATATCTCTACACAAAAATGCAGGAAGATGTGCTTAGTAGCCCATGGAAAGTATCTGGATTAATATAAATGGAGCAAGGAATAAAAGCAACACAACAGTGGAAGTCTATTACCAACCATCCAATCGAGAAGTTGAGGACAAAAATTTTGAGAAGCACATGCCAGTGTTTCAAGGAGGCATAAGGGAGATGTCCATTTCCCTGATATCTGTCAGGAGACAAATTTTGCCAAACACTGGCCCTTCAAGTGACTCCTAGCATGTGTCACAGTGTCCTCCAACAGAAGGTGGAGGAAGAAGCTAGAGAAATGGGTATCCTTGACTTGATTCTAACAAACGGGGAAGACCTAGTCAACAAACTGGCAATTGCAGGAACTCGGGGATAAGTGAAGAGACCATACTTGAAATCTTGATTCTAAACATTGACCCTAGACTTTAGGAAATTCAATTATAATAAACTCAGAAGGATTATAAGTAAAGTCTCATGGCAAGTGACTCTAATAAGGAAAAGGAGTCCAAGATTAGTGGAAGTTTTTGTAAAAAAATGATATTCTAAAGGCACAAATAAAATTCCAACAAGGAAAAAGGATAGAAGACAAAAGAAAAGCTCATGTGGTCTTACAAAAAGCTTAAAGATTATTTGGGGGGAAAAGGACATGCAAAGAAAGTGGAAGGAAGGCCAGGCGACAATGGAAGAATGCAGGCAGCTAGCATAGATTTGCAGGGACAGTGCCAGGAATGCTAGGACTGAATGCTAAAAGCTACGGATGCTAAAAGCAACAAAAAAGCCTTCTTCAGATACATGCAAAGTAAAAGGCAGAGGAAAGAAATGGGAGTTCTATTCCTCGATGTGGATGGCAAAATGATAGCAGATAACAGAAAAGGCAGAAGTGCTCAGTTCCTAGTTTGGATTAGTCTCCTCCCTAAACAAACATAGAAGCACAGAAACAGAGGGAGTCAGAAGTGGCCTTCCAGGCCATCTAGTCTGACTGTCAGCTCCATCATGCCATGCCTGCCACGTGCACATCCAGCCTATCCTTGAACACCCTCACCGACAGGGCCTCAACCACCTCCCATGGAAGCCCATTCCATACCCAAGGCATCCTAACTATCAGGAAGTCAGTCCTTGTGTCCAAATTGAACCTTGGTTCCCTGTGTTTTGCTCCATTGGAATGCATTGTGCCCTCCTCCGCAGGAGAAAATGGATCTCTACCCACCTCTGGTGGCACCTTTTCACGTGCCTATATGTCACCAACAGATCCCCTCAGAGTCTCCTCCAGGCTGAAAAGACCCAGCTCCCTCAATCTCGCCTCATACAACTTACCCTGCAATCCAGCCACCATCCTTGTGGCCCTTTGCTGCATGGATTCCAACCTGGCTATACCCTTCTTGTAATGTGGAGCCCAGAACTGAACACAATACTCCAGTTTGCGGGTGCACCAGAGTTGTATAGAGTGGTAGTAATACCTCTCTTGATCTAGAAGCCATGCTTCTGGCTATGCAATCAAGGGTGGCCTTAGCCCTCTTGACCACTGCATCACACGGCTGACTCATGTTTAGCCTGCAGTCAACCAGCACCCCGAGACACCTTTCACAAGTGTTGCTCTCCAGCCACTTGTCCCCTAACCTGTACTTATGACAGCTATTCCTATGCCCCAGGTGCAAGACCTTGTATTCAACCACATTGAATGCCATCCTGTTGTCTCCTGCCCACTTCCATAGTCTGTCCAGATCCTTTTAGATCTGGACTACCTGCTCCTCACTTGTGGCCACTATCCCCATTTTACTATCATCTGCAAATTTGATCTGCAGACTGGTCACCCCCTCTTCTGTGTCATTGATGAAAAGGTAGAACAGGATGGGTTCCAGGACTGAGCCCTCAGGGACCCCGCTCGTCACCGGCCACCATCCAGATGATTCCCCACTAATAGATCTATGACCTTCCTGACAAAGGGGAAGTACATGTTGAAGGGGCAGGATGGCAGCACAAGGTTGATGGGCAAATGGTCAGGCATCATCTAATTGGTTGAATGAGTTTAAATCTCCAGAGCTTGATAAAGTTCTTCCTAGAGTCCCAAGATCACCGCAGATGTTGACTGCAGCCAAGAAATTAAAAGACGCTTGCTCCTCGGGAGGAAAGCTATGGCAAATCTAGACAGCATACTAAAAAGCAGAGACATCACCCTGCCAACAAAAGTGCGTATAGTCAAGGCTA